TGAGAACTATGTTAAGCAGCAATTCTGCAACCTCGCTGAACAAATGAGTGTCTTGATGCATTTCTTAGCATTTACTGTTAAAAGAGTAGAATCATTAGAACATTCATTAAACATTAAAGTAGTGACACCAGTTGAGGCTGATGCTCACAATTTAAATTCTGATGAAATGGTTGATGATTTAGTCCCCCTCATTGATGCATCTGCCTCCACTATTGTTCAACAATATCAAACTATTGAGGGCTTACGTAGCGTCAACAAAATGCAACAAAAAAGGTTGAAATCATTTACCTCCACTATCAATACCTTAGTAAAATCATGTTTAGCATTCCAATCAATCCTGTTGAAGGCTAACTCCCAACTGAACAGGCGGCTATATTTTTCCTACTTGGAGATAGTTTTGATAGTGATATTGATGCTTATCTCAAAGGATTCCACCAATTTTAATTTTTTTTATGTATACTGTCTTTACAGATTCTTCTGCACAAGCTGTACAATCTAATACAAACATTATCATTCCCATTCTAATCCCTATTTGTCATTTTCTACATATAATATCTGCTCATTCACTAATACCGCCAAACAAAATTCTCTTATAGATCTCTACTTTTCATTAAATATTGATGTAATAGGATTGCAAGAAACCAATTTCTTTCAATCACACACCAGATCATTCTACCTTATTTTCAATCACCAACTCCAAGGTTTTTTTGGCCTTTCCACTTAATCGAACGTACAGAAATCTGGCTTTGGTGTTAGCATTTTACTCAAACATTTTCTTGCTAATTATGTCTTTCATCACGAAGTCAAACACAATCATTTAATTATAGTGGATCTGCAATTTGCGAATAAACAGAAAATTAGAATCATTAATTGTTACTTTCTTCTGCCAGGAAATCTCATATTTAGAAAGTTATTCAATTAGATCTTATGCAATTTATCAGAGATGCGACCTCCAACAGCTATTATATCATTCTCCTCGGTGATTTTAATGCTGATATAGACAACCCAAAGCTATACTCATAAGACAAAAATCTATTCTCAACTCTAAATAGTTCTCACTTTTTTGATACATTTCGATCAAGTATGATCAGCATCGATCTGCATATCCTACATATCATTCTCCAAAATCAAATTCTTGAATTGACTTCATTTGGTCTTCAGGTAACGTAATTTCTAACTTCAATCATTGTGACATTGAAGATGTTCTACACTAATTGTCAGATCAATCTATAGTTATCCTTAGAATTAAAAACTTCTTAGCTGTTAAAAATAAAAAGGAATATTCCACTAAAGAAGACATTTGACTATGATAAAATGTCAGATGAGAAGTAGTTAGATTTCGGTAATAAAGCAGATGCGTTAGCCAATGGATGTCAACTGCGTATACTTAGTAACAAAACTGTATTCAACCAACACTATTTAAACCGATATTGGGATCTCCTTCAAGAATGCATTATTAAGGCTGTGGATACATCTATTCCCTTTTACAACTCAAAAGGGCATCATTCAGTAAAAATACCTTCTCTACTATCAAAATTATATAAGCAACTTAAATTCTTATATAAATTCAAAAGGGTAACAAAGAAAATTTACCACACCTTCATCATCCCCTCTAACTGGTCTACATTAATTGAAAACTTTTATAATATTATGAAAGACTCCAATATTGTGCATGTCACAATATCATCTGATCCTTCAGTCTCCATCATATATTCACTCTCTCTTTTCATTGAACAACTGCTTGGATGCGTACTCATAAAAGCTAAACTTTATAAGTATGACTTTAAGCTCAATTCAATCCAGCAAGCCATAGAAAAAAAGATTAGACAATTACCAATCCTCACCTGCAAAAATGACTGACTCACTGTTAGGATGCTCAAAATGAACAATTATTATTGACCAGTGCATAAACAATACGTCATTATTATTGACCTTTTAACAGATAAAGACACTGTTAAACAAGAAGTTGCCAGGTATTTTTAGATGGCTACTAGAACTGCTCATAAAAATGTCTCTATTGATGATGACTGGTTGTCCTTTTACCAATCGTTACCTGATAAAGATCATACAATTTACAATGACCTAATGAACCCACTATTAGCGGATGAGTAGTATGATCTTATCACTCATCTCCCTAATGGAAAAGCGTCTGGACCATCTTAAGTATCCAATGATATAATCAAACATCTCAGTCCATTGATAAAAAAACTTCTGTAGTATATAATTTGTGGATGTCTATTGACCTCTTCACTATCACATCATTAGAATTATGCATTTATTTATCTAATTTCGAAACTGAAATTTTGGGAATATGATTTGATTAATACTCATCCTATCATTTTGCTTGAATATCCTCAAAAAGCCCTCATCAAGCTCCTAAATCGTTAATTATCCAAAATCATGATCGAATATAATGCCTTAAAAGATCTAAACTTCGCTAAACTTCCATTTAAGTCAACTTTTGAACTACTATATATTATTGATAATATTAAATATGATGCTAATCATAATAAGAAAGACCTTTAGATTCTATTATAGGATATGTCTAAGGCGTAAGATCATGTCAACATCTTCATGCTCATTAGAGCAGGGTTGGGAATGGATCAGATCCATTGGACTTCAATAGCTAAATGATCCAATAGATCAGATCTATTAGTAATCCATTGGATCTAAATGGCGTAGTATACATGAATAGATCGTTAGTCAATGGATCTTAATAGATGATGATCCATTGGAATCCATTGGGATCTATTGGCCAACATATGATATAATTTAATTTTGTTAAAAAAAAATTACAAAAGTAAATAACTCCATGGTTTATTTGATTTTTACATATTTTTGCAATAAATAAATAAATGCTTCAAGCATCGGAAGTGTCATTTTTGTAAAAATAAATTGCAATAAATGAATGTCTCAAGCATCAGAGATGTCATTTTTGCAAAAAAAATTAAAATTTTTTGCAATAAATAAATGCCTTAAGTATTGGCTGAAGTGAATTGTTCATTTTTGCAAAAACCATATATTTTTTAGCAATAAATGAATGTCTTAAGCATCAGAGGCATCATTTTTGCAAAAAAAGTTAAAAATTTTACATAAAATGAACAACACCAAAGTGGATTGTTTATTTTTGTAAAAACCATATATTTTTTGTAATAAATGAATGCCTCAAGCATTAGAGACGTCATTTTTACAAAAAAATTAAAAATTTTGCAATAATTCAATGCCTCAAGTATCAGAAGCATTATTTTTGCAAAAAAAAATTAAAATTTTTGAACAAATGAATGCCTCAAGCTTCAGAGACATTATTTTTGCAAAAATTTTAATATTTTGCATAAAATGAACAACATCGAAGTGGATTATTCATTTTTGCAAAAACCATATTTTTTTGCAATAAATGAATTCCTTAAGCATTAGAAGCATCATATTTGCAAAAAAATTTAATATTTTGTATAAAATTAATAACATTGAAGTGAGTTATTTATTTTTGCAAAAACCATATATTTTTTTGCAATAAATGAACGTCTCAAGTATCAGAGGTGTCAATTTTGCAAAAAAAATTTTAATATTTTGTATAAAATGAATAATATCGAAGTAGATTGTTCATTTTTACAAAAAAAATATATTTTTTGAATAAATGAATGTCTCAAGCATCGGAGGCATCATTTTTGCAAAATAAAAGAATAAATGAATGCCTCAAAGCATTGGAGGAATCATTTTTGCATAAAATAAACATCACTGAAGTGGATTGTTTATTTTTGCAAAAACCATATATTTTTTGTAATAAATGAATGCCTCAAGCATCGGAAATGTCATTTTTGCAAAAAAAATAAAAAATTTGCATATAATAAATGTCTCAAATATCAGAGGCATCAATTTTTACAAAAAAGCTTTTATTTTTGCAATAAAAGCATCAAAGACATTTTTGCTAATAAATAAAAGTCCTGAACTTATTAGTTGTTTATTTTTTTGCAAAATTTCTTTTTGCAAAATTAGACACTGCCACCTCATATATTGATATACTTATTTATTTGTAAAATCAAACTATTGCCAATAAATAAATGCCCTGATGTCAGAGACTTCTATTTTTTAGCAAATTTTTTTGCAAAAATAAATACCTTATATGTTGTGTATACTCATTTATTTACAAATTAAAATTTTGCTAATAAATAAATGCCTCAAACATCAGAGGCATTTGTTTTTTTCAAAATATTTGTTTTTTTGCATAATAACTGCTTCATGTATTAGAGGTGTCTATTTATTTGCATGATTTATCATAAATCAATGCTTTAAGAATTAAAGACGCATTTGTTTATTACTTTTTTTTTGCAAATGACTCAAAAGAAAATACTCTTACACAAAATATTAAAAATTATAATATTATAAACTTTATCATACTCTACCACATATTATTAAAATAATTATAACAATACTTATAATTTATATTACCTAAAGAATATTGCCAAATTTCTGATACATCACCATAAAATTAAAATTAATAAAACAAATCAATAAAAATTTTTATTTATAAATTTTGCCACATCACATTTATTATATAAATCAAATTTTTAAAATTAAATTTAAAAATTTTAAAATCAAACATGTTAAAAAAAGCTCATGGTGGTGAACCACTACATCAATAGATAACATATTTTGATATTTTAGATAAAAAAAATAAAAGTAATAAAATAGCTATTTGTAAAGCATGTTCTAATATAAATAATCCATTTACTAGCATAGAAAATCTTACAAATAAAAGATCAATTTATCATAATCATTTAAAAATTTGTTCTAATTTTGAAGCATTATATAATGATGAAACATAGAATGTAATTTTAGCTAAAATTATTCAAGAAGAAAAAGAAGAAAGACAAAAAAAATCTTTAGGTAAACGTAAACAAGATGAAAGAGATATACTAAATTATATTATTTTTTTAATTTTTTTTAATTTTTAATTTATTTATAAATATTTTTAAATAGATATTATAAATCTCGATGATGAAATGTCAATTTCCATTACAAAATCAAATAAATTATGTGGAAGTTCTAGAACAGATTCTTATCCAACTTTTGCTATTTCTGAACCTTTACAGAGTTCAATAGAATATTACATGCCATGTTGTTTATCTGAAGAAAGTGCAGAATACTGGAAAAAATTAGTATTAAAAACAACTATTTCAAATAATTGGTCTTTTCGTTAGGTTGAAGATAAAGTAGCACAAGAATTAATAGAATTTACAAATACTGGTTTGAAGTTACCATTAAGAAAATCTTTAGCAGTTAAAATTTTAAATGATACTTCAAAATCTATACAAGAACAAATTTTAAAAGTTGCATAAGAAGAAAAAATTGGATTAACTGTTACATTTGATAGATGGAAAAAAATAGTTAGTCAATCACTTATTGGAACAGTAGTAATGACATTTACTGAAAAAAGTCTTATCTGGGGTGTTCAAGACATGTCTAGTGAACATTCTCGTACTCAAAATGTAGTTGATTTAATGGAAAAATGGTTAGAAAATAGTAGAAATGATAACTTAAAAATAATTTGTATTATTATAGATGTAGCAGGAAAATATACAGCAGCAAGATAAAATAAATTATTAAATCTTATTTATAATAAAAAATATTAATTTTATCATTTTAATATTTAGAAAAGTAATACGTAATAAATATCGTAATATTATTTTTATGCTTTGTTTTGCATATCAAACAAATCTTATTGTAGCAGATATTTTTAAAGAATCATCTCATTTTCATGAAATATCTGTTAAAGCTATTGAAATTATTTCATTTTTTAATTTTTCAACTTATTATACTGGAAAACTTCGTATAGAACAAATGGAAATTTACAAAAAAACTATGCCTTTACAAAGATCTTGTGAAACAAGGTGAAATAGTTATCATTTATGTTTTTCAAGTATTTTAAATAGTCAAATTGCATTACAGGTTTATTTAATTTAATTTATATATTTATTAATTTATAATTTTAATTTAATTAAATAAATTTATTAGACTTTAGTAGCAAAATATGATAATCTTCCTCGAAATGAATTACCAATAAATTCCAAAATTTGTTTAATAATTAAAGATGATGAATTTTAGAATTCTTTATTAAATTTAAAAAATAATTTGACTCCTTTATGTGATGCATTAAATAAGCTACAATGTGATAGAGCAAAATTATTTGAAGTTTTACATTGTTTTGCATTTTTTATTAAAATGTATAAATTTCATTCTATGTTAGCAAGATTAGAAAAACGTTGAAAACAATGGGAACAACCCATTTTATTACTTTCATTTCTTTTACATCCAAATTATAGAAATGTTTATTTTAATTCTGCAGTACAACCAAAGATTTCAACAACAATTAATAGTTGGTTAATTTATTATTATGAAGCATGGTTTGGAATAAAACTAACTAATATTCTTTTAGAATATAGTAGATATATGTCAAAAGTGCAAGAATTTCAGATTCAATTTTGGGATCAATTTTCAAAATAATATCCTTTCATATTGGTATTTATTAATAATGATGGAGGTGAATTATCTAAAGTAGCTTGTCAAATTTATGCTATTTTAGTAAATTCAGCATCATTAGAAAGATTATTTTCTTCAATGAAAAATATTCAAACACCTATTAGAAATAGATTACAGGTATGTATAATTAATTTATTTTAATTTATATTTATATTAAATTATTATTAATTTATTAAATTTATTCAGTATGATAAAGTATTAAAAATAGCTCAAATTTGTGAAGAAATTGTTAAATTAAGAAATGAAAAATCAAATATAAATTTGATAAAAGAAATTTAAACAAATTAAATAGATGATGAACAAGATTCAGAATTAGAAGAATTAGATTTTGAAGAATTTAATTCTTCAAATAAAAGTATAGATGATTGGAAAAAAAATTATTGAAAAATGGTTAGATATAAAGATGATACAGCAATTGATTTCAAATTTACAAAATGTTGCAACATAAGCTAAAATTAGTTGCAACATATGTTGTAACATTATAAGTTGCAACATATATAGGTTAAAACTAATTGCAACGTAAGTTGCAATATTAAAAGTTGTAACATATTAATTACAGTTCCCATCTTTAGTTAGATATGATCAATGATAAAAATGAAGCATTAATTAAGAAGGAAATTGAAGAAGAATTAGATGAATTTAATTCAAATTCTTTTGCTACTCTTAATAGTATACATCCTACTAATGATATAAAAGCAAAGTAGAAATTAAGTGAATTATTTCTTTTAGGAATGAATGCACCAAGATTTATTTCTAAGTTAAATATAGAATAGCAAATTTATAATTTTGTAATTTTTTTTTATTTTATTTTAAATTTTATAACATTTTTATCTTTATTTTAATAAATAAATTTTTATTATTATATTATTTTATATTTAATGTAATATATATTAAATTTTTTTTGTTGTTTTTAAATATTTTTTTTTATATTATAATATTATTAAACATATATATATTGCTTTATATTTTATATTGATTTAAAGTATAGAAGATATTTTTGAGTAGGCTGCCTACTAAAAAACTGATACTGGATTCTAATTCTCTTCAGTGCATTGATTTTAACAAGTTAAAATTTGTCAAAATCAGATCAGTAGATCAGCGAAAAATCAATCTACAAGTCACATTACCATATAAAAAATTTGATTAGATACAATGTTATTTTGTAGATCGATTTTTCACTGAGCTACTGATCTGATTTTAACAATTTTGACGAACACTCTTTCTCACTTCAACATGACCACCGCTAGCCAAACAAAAAATTCAAACAAAAATACACAAAACAAAAATACTTTTACCGAACTTTTTACTTCAAATGCTCAAAATACTTCATTCCAAACACCTGCTACCTATCAAACAAAAAACCCAAACAACTTTAATACTGAAATCCCAATAAAACGAAAAAAATTTTCTTCTCCTTCTCCAAATAATTTAGAAAATATTATCGAAAATATTATTCTTATCCCTTCCAACAATCAAACTATCAACTCAGATATATCAGTTATTACCTTCAAAATCTCTAACGAAAATAAAGAAGACTCCATTATGGAAATAAACAACCCACAACCTCTTGTTTTAATTGACCAAAGTACCAACGACTCTATACACACTACCCCCTCAAACTCTACCTCTTCTCTTATATCAGACAATATGGATACACAAACTTTTGACACCAAGGGAAAAAAGAAAGTAACCTGGGATGAAGACTTTGAACCTTACAAACAATACATCGCTGATAAAAATGATGACGTCAACAATGAATCTTTTACTATCATCATATCACCAATGCATTTTTACGCGTCTACAAATACAAAGGATGTCACTGGTTTCTCAATTGCAGAAAAACGTTACATGATCAACAAACTTTTCAGCCACTTTGAGGGATACAGGGGTTGTATTATAATACATAAACAAAGGAAATTCTATATTTACTTTTTTACATTAGATTCTCTAACACAAACAACCGATAAAGTTAAAGAAACTCAACACAACCCAATTTTTTTGGTAATTGACCCCAATGCTAAATAACAACACAAAGACGATAAAAAAGGCAGATGCATTAAAGTCAATGATATTCCCTTATTTGTAAAATCAGATATTATACGAAACGTTTTTGAAAAATATGAAAGGATCTGCAGATTTTTAATGATCACCAGAGATCCTTGGCAAATTGCTTTCATTGTATATGGATCACTTGATTCCATTCAAAAATTTTATGATAACACTTGGTCTATCTTATTAATGGAATTTTCAGTTAGAATTGAACTTACCGACATCACTGAAATTCAAACGTCTCTTCGCCAACAATTTGAACTTAAACTCACTGGATTTCCCTTTAACACCACTTAATTAGATCTCTCTGGTTTTTTGACTCAGATCAAAGCAAAGTCATGTTTTATTCCAAGAGACTGACAGTATTGTCTTAGATCATATGCATACATTAATTTTGATAATATTGATGATTATGATAACGCTTTTAACTTATAACAAAAATTCAAAAATCGCATCTTATTTTGGATTACTCCTGAAATCCAACATTGTAACTCATGTGATTCTCCAGATCACAAGGTCCAATCATGTGATAATCACCCTCGTCCCAATCTATTTAAACCTCTTTACAATAAATTCAAATCAGCTCAATACAGACCTAAACCTTTCACACCTAAACCTAGCATTCCACGTAATTACGAGTCAAATAATCAATCCAAAAGTCCCTTTTATTCTGACTCTATTCAAAATAGAAATAATAATCAAATGAATCAATCAGGCAAACAAAACCAAACCCCTCCTCTAACTGTTGCCTCTGCTATTAAATCAATGATGGAACAACTGATCTCTTTAGAAAATAAATTCCAATTATTGGAAGATGAATTAATCAAAACACAGAATGCGTGTGTTGAATTAAAACAAATTCAACTTCATATTATCAACCGAGTCAAGACTATTGAAAATCAACATCACATCAGCAATTCAACCCCATTAAATAATACATAATCAAATGATTTTGCTCTCAATGAAAATGACTTTTCCTTTCCAAACGAATTTGTTCCTGTTCAAAATCATTCTATTTTATCACATCCTTCATCCTTATCACGTGACCAAATGATCGACTAGCAAGAAAGACAAATTTCAATTTTACAAAATAACTTCAGCGATGTCAAAAATAATCTCAAAATTTTGAAAGACGCTATGATGCAATTTTTACAATCACATTCTAATACTTCCCAATGAATATTTTACAACAATCAAATATATCTCTCTTTTACAGGCTAAGTAAAGAGAATAACAATTTTAAAATAGCAACTCATAACGTTAGAAACTGCATTTCAAACGAAAAAAGAAATCAAATTGAACAATTTTTTTGAAACTCATTTGACTATGTAACAATCTTATTCTATTTGCAATAAATTCAAATCACCTGATCTCCCATTTAAATATTTTTTATTAAATGATAATCGTTCCCAAAATTGTCAAGGAGTAGGTTTCATTGTCAGTTCCTCTATTTCTAAACATATCTTTAATTATCAAGGCTTTTTTGATAGAATCATTTTCATAGATCTTCAAATGAAAAACAAACAAAAACTTCGAATCATTCAAATCTACCTTCCTTCTAATATACATACTACTGCCGATCATCAACATAGACTTAAAATACAACAAAAGATCCTCGATCTAATTCTAAAAGCCAAATCAAAAATTATCATCATATTGTTATGGATGATTTTAACATTAATATAAAATGCAAATATTCTTCATCTAGACAAAAAAGATACCAACACTTTCTTACTCAACTTGAAAATCTTGGCTTAATGAACAATTTAAAAATCTTCAATCAATTCTACCCGTTAACTTTTTTTTCTCCAAATTCCTCCTCTTCCTTTGACTATCTTTTCTCCTCCTCTTCTCTCACTCATAATCTTACCTTTTCAACCTCTTTAAATACTTACTCATATAATTATGAATCTGATCATACTTCATTGGTTTCTTTTTTCTATAAAAATAATATCTTTCATCAGAAAACTAATGCCTCGTTCAAACAAAAAAAACTAACCAAAACCAAATTTCTGTATGACAAAACTTTTAAAGAAACATGGAATAAGTTTTCGTTAAAATTAGATAATCTAATTTCTCAGAACTCATTATTGCGTTTTCTCAATGATAATTCTCATACATTTTCTCATAATGATCTTAACTCTATTTGGGATTCCTTCAGCTGTACAATTATTCAAGCAGCAAAAAATACTCTTCCTAAACACACTTTCACCAATCAAAGATCTACTGACTTTCTCTATAACCATCAGTCTTCTTATAAATCTCTTAACAAAATTAACAAATTTTATCATCAATGTTACAAAGATTATAATCGTAATATGCATTTTAATATAATCAATCACGATAAATTTATCACTATTATTAATCAGTTAATAAAGCAAAATATTCCTACCCAAGACATCAAATCTGCATATGATACTAAATCTTTTCCAACATTTCTGACTTGCCTCAAAGAAGCTATCATCTTATATAGATCAAAAATCAAACTTCTGGACAAAATGGAAGACGAACAACGTATTGCTTCTTTTATATATCAATGAGTTAATAATTTTACTGATAATCTATCAGCAATGATTGATTCCTCCTGTCTTGAAAGAAGAAAAACATCAATTATACTAGATAGAATCCTTGTAAAAGACGAACAAAATCAGCCATATCTGGAACTTGACACCTCTAATGTTCTATTACATACCAGTGATCATTTTCAAAAAATAGCTAATTCTATAAACTCAAATAAAGAATCACATCCCTCCTTGAATCTTTGGCAATAACACTACAAAGGTTTAGATTATATTGATGAAACTTGCTACTCCTCACTCTTAGATCTTTCTGACTTTAATAAATGGATTTAACTAATCAACTCTTTTCCAAATGACAAAGCTGCTAGACCTTCAGGCATTACTTATGAACTTATCAAACGTTTTCATACTAAAGCCTTCAAATTGCTCTTCAAGATTTTTCACATCTGTACAATATACTGCAAGATATTCCTGCAGAATGGAAATTAGCTTACATTTATCCAATACCCAAACCCAAGCCATGGTAATGTGATCTTAATAATACTAGGCCAATTACTCTTTTAGAAACAGCAAGAAAAATCTACGTCAAATTTTTAATGAATCGATTATCTAGAATATGTATAAAATATCAAATCCTAAAAGGATTAAACTTTGCTGGCCTTCTGCATAACTCAACTATAGATCCACTTCATATAGTTAATACTATTCTAGAATCATCTAGATCTAAAATACGAAGAAACAAACTTTTGAAGAATCATATTCCTACTCAAAATCTATTCATTCTATTTCAAGATATGTCTAAAGCATATGACAGAGTAAACATCTATATGCTTCAGAAAGCTATGTCTCAGCTTAAAATTCCTATTAACTTCATCAATATCATCTCCAATCTTTTTACAAATAGGAAAAATAGAGTTTATATACAGCATGGCTTATCACCTGAATACGATGTTCTAGTCAGTATCGACCAAGTTGAAATTATTTCTCCTCTCTTATGGATCATATACTATGATATTTATTATATAAAATTCAAAAATCGAACCTAGGATACAACTTGTCTCAAACTTGGTTTCCTGATCTTAACAATCTGACTCCAACATCAGACTCTGTTAATATTGCTGCTACTGCTTACATGG